TTGTACAGTATGTGTGTATGTCTGTATGTATGTGTGTGTGTGTATGTCTGTATGTATGTGTGTGTGTGTATGTCTGTATGTATGTCTCTCTCTCTCTCTCTCTTTCTCTCTCTCTCTCTCTCTCTCTCTCTCTCTCTCTCTCTCTCTCTCTCTCTCTCTCTCTCTCTCTCTCTCTCTGTGTGTGTGTATGTATGTGTGTGTGTGTGTGTGTGTGTGTGTGTGTGTGTGTGTGTGTGTGTGTGTGTGTGTGTACTTGAATAAAATAATTTTAATGCTATCTTTATTTTTAATCTTTTGTTTACTGATAATAAATTATATTATTTTAAGTATTCAAATGCAAACAATATATTATAGTAATGTTATGTAACAAATGTAATGTCATTTAATTCACAAAAATAAATATTAAATATAATATAAGCACAGAAAGAAATGCTGATGTAATATAAAAAATATTTTAATTACTGTAATATAAATAATTTTATATAATGTTTGAAAGAAAATTACTCTAAAAAATCTTTGATTGAGATAACCATTATTTATATATAAAATTGTTAATTATAAAATATTTTTGTATTTAATTTAAATACATTTTTTATTTCAAATTAACAAAAGTTTTTTAAAAATATTTTTTTCAAACTTATTTAATTATTTATTCAAAAGTTTGTTTTAAAACAATCGATAATTTATTTTTTTTCTCATTCATTGTCTTGAATTCAATACACAACTAAAATAATAATAATTTTCATAAATTTTCAATTTCCACAAAACTTTTATACACTGATATTATAATATATTTTATGTGGATTTTTATTGTAGAAAATTAGTGAAGGATTGTTAGAAAAAATGATTGATTTAAATGAATATATTTATTATTATTGTGTTATTAATTAAAAAATATTTTGAAACTTTTTTTTATGATTATTTAGTAGTTTTATTATTATTATATTTTTACAAAAATTATGATTTAATGCAAAAATATCGGTTCACTTGTTATCCAATATATAAAAGTATTGATATTTTATGACTGTGTTAATGGTGACAACAAACAGATAGTTTACATTTATTATCAACTTATGGATCAATTGTCACATCAAAAATAAGTCGTTAATAATTGTTTAGTGCACTTTAAACACTGATTTTTATTTGTTAAACCATAATAAACATATTATAATATATATTACATTATAAACATAATTGGTTGGCACTAAATGTGTTTGTAAAAGTGCATTAAGTGTACTAAAAAAATAAACTATTGGGCAATAATACAGTATTTAAACTTTTTTTTAAAAAATTTGATACATAATTATAATTATTGCTAATTAATATGTCTGTTTTGCAAATATTTATACAAAGAAACTAATTTTATTAGTAACATGAGAGACCCTTCTAGCTAATTTTAAAAAAAATGTTTTAGTAATTTTAATACAATTTAGCATTTTTGTTAATTTATTTTTTTTTTTTAAAAACCAGTTAACCAAATAACCAAATTTAAAGCATTAAAAATTGAGAGACCTGTCTCACCAAACGATAGCCTTGACTAATAATCTATACTATAATTGTTATGTATTAAGTATTAAAAAAATATTACTTTTGTCTCTTTTGATTTAGAAAATAAAACTAAAACTAATTATATTAACGATTTTTTTTATTACAGTTTAATAATAACTCATTGTTAATATCATGTGTGTATAAATAAATGATTTTTAGTTTGTAATTATAACAGTTTTTAAAATAATTTAAATGCAAAAACATGTAATAATTGGCACTAATTCTTAAATATTAATGGACATTAATAAATAATGTGATTTTTTAAAAATAAAAATTTATTGCTGCTAAATAGTATGTAATTTTTCAAAAAAATAAATGTTTATGATATTGATTAAATATTTAATAACTAATAACTTATTTTTCTATTAAAAGAGTTTTTTATATGAAAAAAATGCTTATATGTAATAATAATTTGCGAAAAAAAATTGCGTTTATCCCTCACTATTATAATGCAATAAACATTAAATTAAAAAAATAATAATATTTAATGAGATTTTATATTAAAAAATTTTAATACAAAGATCACAATCCCTGACCTCTGAAGTACTCGTTATTACATTACAACAAGTATTTTATACCTTAAATGAACAACAATTTAGATATTAAATACATTTTAAAAACTATTATAATAATTAAAATGCTATCCTTATGTTAAATATATTCTGTAAATTTCATGAACAATGAGCTGATCCAAGTGTAGGGCTAACACAGAGCCAACAGTACAGAGTAGTGTACATTGCATCAGAAAATATGATAGTTTATGCCATTATAGGGGAAAGTGAGACGTGATATGCATATAATGAATACAACAATTATATGCATACAAATAGTTTTGTTTTTTATTTTTGAAAGAAAAGTTATGTTTCAATGTGTATGCCGTTCGTCGGCCTTCTCTCTCGCAACGCATTCATATAATAGCACCAACTGGTCGACCAAAATGCTTAGGTAGGTATACATAATAGTGCAAAACAAAACACACCAGTGATACTAAAAATGCACTCATAGTTAATCAACTAAACTATAATTATAAGCCGTTTTGTTCATTTAAAAATTAACATTCGTTAGTATAGTACATATATAATAGTAAAAAACTATTATATGAATATTATTGAATTAATATATTTTGCTTTTAAAAAAATGTTTCTTAATTTTTAACGCCACAAACTATTCTAGCCTATGATTAGAGACAATTTTGGCAATAATTCAAATTATAAACAATACAAATAGTTTTTTTTAATTTTAATGTCATATACAATATTATTTCTCTCTCTCTTTCTCTAAATTAATATTAATATTATTAATTGAGTGCAATTGTTATCACTTATTATATCTTACAATTTTTTATAAAATCAATGTCTTTGCCAACAAATTGATCGACAATTAAATAAAGCAATAAAGCCTTAGTTACAGACAAACTAAATACAATATATTATAATTACAATTTTGACAATAAAAGAAATTTAATTTAAATTTAAATGAATTTTTTGTTTATAATTTGTTGTAATATTACGACTTTGAGTATAAACTTTACATACAGTATACATGTCTATTACAATAACTATATTCATTATTTTATCATTTATTTTCGTATAAAAACCAACGATAAAATATTTTTACTTCAAATATAAATTTATTCAAAAATAATTTTTATTTTATATTTTATAGTTATTTTCATGTAAAAAATAATTATGGCATAATATTAAATGATATATTGTATTTTAAAATTTTCAATACTTTTTATTGATTTTAATGCAAATTTTCTACACAATTGAGATATAAAGTATAAAACAACAACAAAATTTATTTGTTTTTTAATGACTATATTCATTAATTTATGTGTTTTTTATATAAAACATATAATTTTTATGAGTTTTGATTTAAAAATTAATTATTTATGCAATTATTATAATTATCGTTTATTTGTTAACTATAATTTACACTAATATTTATTGTAAATAATTATATATATTTATAAAACATTATAACTATTAAAAAATCAAAATAATTAATAATTAAAAAAATAAAACTTTACAAAATTATAATCAAAATAAGATTACGTAATTTACATTTTTAATAATATTGGACAAATAATTTAATCTTTAAAAATAAATGAGTATATTTTAAGTAATAATAATAATAATATTTAAATTGATTTTTACACTTTCTTTCTAAAAATTAATATTTATTATTTTTATATTGCTTAATATATACTGTATATAATATATACTATATATATATATATATATATATATTTCATATATATAATTTTTTAATATTTATTTACATTAAAATTATAATCTTTATATATTTTTAAAATAAAATCAATTAATGTAATTAATGAATGAATGGCACAAAATAATTGTAAATTTATTTTTTTAAATCAATTAAAACAATATTCATTATTAACTATTATATTCTAAATGTTTAAAACTTTTTGAACTTTCACTTTGCTTTTAAATATATTTTTCTTTACTGTAAAATAACTCATTACTTTCTGACCACTAATTTATTACATTTTGTCAATTATTTAAATGTTTTGTCAATTAACTAATTTTTCTTTTATTTATATTGTTAACTAAAGTTTTACAGTATGTGCGATATAATTGTTTGTTATGGTATTTATGTTAATAGCATTCAAAATAAAATAATATAATTTTTAAATTAAATTGTTATTCATAAACAGTATCATATATATATATATAAATCGATTTATATATATATATTTATACTGTATATCAGTAAATATTAACTATGAAATGCAAATATGTTTTAAAAAGTTTACTTATTTTGAATGCCAATCACGACTATTTTGTCTGCAAATTATATACAGATATCTAATGATCAAAACAATTATCATATACTCTAAATGCTATACTATAACGTTATATGTATTGTTATTATAGTGGAGATCTGGTTGTCTCGCATGGGTCCCGATGTAGGCCATCACCGTTACGTTAACGGCACTCACCGTTACTTTAACGGCACTCACCGTTAAAGCAAACAGCTTAGTACATGACACAGAGCCGTCATTTAAATTGTTTCAATTGTCATCAATGGTATCACTTTTTTACTAAAGACTCACCACTAATGGCACCGCTTATGTAAAACTGTTTATCTTTTTTCCCCATAACTTATGATTTTGTTTTCAAATAAATTTTTTTCTAAATATCTTTTGTAAATTAAGTGCTACTTAAAGATTAATTGACAAAACATTCATATAATTGTCATTAAGAGCAGACTAGAGTAGTCTATATAATAATATAATTAACATTTTTTATAATATATATTAAACAATATAATAAAATAATAGTCATTTTGCTATACATTCATTATATGACAAAATTGTTTTTATAATTATTTTTTTGCTGTTTTTAATATTATAATTATGTGTTTATATTTGTATTCAATTCCTCAAACTCTCTAATGGTATACAAAATACATTACATAAGAGTGCTCTCAATATTTCCACCAAACATTTAGCTACCGTTCCTTTTCTCGCCAATCAAATACACGGCTTATACGGCTGCGTGTCGTTTCATGTGTAGAGCCAAATGGTCGGACCGGGAAAAGGCTCGTTCACAGAGTCGGCACTGAAAGGGTCGATCGCCGGTATGTTTACGGAAATGTCGGGTGAGTTCATCAGATCGGGCAAACTTCCAGCCACAGCCTTTCCAATTGCACTGATATGGCTTCTCTCCCGTATGTGTCCTCAGATGAGCCTTTAAATGCGAGCTTTTTGTGTATGTCTTTGTACAGCCCGGGTGTGTACACGAATGCGATGTAGTCTTCTTGCGGACCCCACCACCAGTTTTAGTATTTTTTACACCTTTACCTTTAACACCATTTTGTACTTGTTTTGGTGGCACAGGTGGGGTACTAATTGTGACCAAACACGGAGGATAATTAGGTGCACAGCCAGCAGTGGACAGTAATTCAGCCAAATTTGGTGATGAGGGCGGTGTAACCATTTTGTGGTGAGTTAGGGAACTAATAGGTGTAGTGCCGACGTTCATCTGCATACCATTGAGTTGTTTAGTCATTGGATTCACTGCTTGTGGGATCGGTACCTGTTGTTGTTGTTGTTGCTGATGTTGTTGCTGTTGAATAAGCTTATATACGGCTAAATTGTTAGTTGGATATTGTGATTGTTGTTGACGTAACTGTTGTTGCTTTTGTTGTTGAAGTTGTTGTTGCCTTTCAGGTGATGCCGGTGGAGACATCTGAGCTGAAGTTATATGTTGTGGTGGCATTAGACCCACATTTGGTGTCCATTTACAATAAGGCGGTAATACACTGGGTATATGTACGGTTGCACACGTTTTGGTGGACTCCACACATATGGGAACCATAGCTTGTTGTGGCTGTGCTGGTGGTTGTAGGTGTGTCTGATGATGGTGTGTCTGTGGCTGAACCAGAGTTTGATGCAAAATAGGCATAACATCTTTCGGCTCTAATTTAATTGTCGGCGTCGACCGATTGGTTTTCAAATTTGTTACTATATTTGTCGCTGAGTTATATGAGTTGATGTGATTAGTAGTATTGGCAGCGTTTGGGGCAACGATCTGGTCATTGGTTGCGTACAGTTGGACACTGGTGTCGGCACTTAACATAAAGTCAGTTAAATCTAGAGTCATGTCATCGTAACGTTGTTCACCATCTCGAGCACCGGTATTATCACTAAAAACATTTGTCGTCATATTCTGTGTCGTGTGGGACGGCCTGACGTGTATGTGGTGTTGTTGTTGTTGTTGTTGCTGACTGTGCTGTTGATGGACTGTCAATAGTTGTGTGAGATCGAGTACATTGGTTGCGGGCAGTGATGTTTGATTGGCCGGTGTCGGCGATTGTGGTGACAGCAACTGTTGGACGGCTACAGCCGATTTGGGGGCAATGGGATCGGTATGTGTGCCAAAGTGATGATCACCTAATAGGACACTTTCAATGTCCTGCCACATCTGCAATCAATAATTAAATAATATCACATTAAATATGATTGTCACCAATAAACAAAAAAAATGTAAAAACATTGTTAATAAGTTTAATAAGTGATTATATATTTTGTTAATAAGTATGTATGCAATACAACAACAAAATATTATAATAAAAGTTTTGTTGAAAAATTTAGGACATAAAATAGCTGTCAATCAAACAAATAAGTGTTTAAAGAGCTCATGAATTCATGGCTTAGTTTTTTTGTTGTATAAAATTTTTCTTTAAGCAATAATAAAAAAAATGATTAGCCTTTTTGAGATCTATACTAATTTAATAGCTCATAGAGAGAGAGAGAGAGAGAGAGAGAGAGAGAGAGAGAGAGAGAGAGAGAGAGAGAGAGAGAGAGAGAGAGAGAGAGAGAGAGAGAGAGAGAGAGAGAGAGAGAGAGAGAGAGAGAGAGAGAGAGAGAGAGAGAAAGGGCTCTTTGATAGGGCTATTAAAACAGATAACATGTTTTGCATTATACTAAAAGCTTGTTTAATACAAAATCAATTGATTATTTTTTTATATCAGTAAATAATACACTCGTTGTTTAAGATTACATTTCTAGTAATTATTGTTATTATAGTTTAGATATGAAATATTTATTTACAAAAAAAATCCTGTCTATTGGTCTCACAAAATGTGCTGAAAAAAATGTATAACACGTTTTCATTAATAATTTAAAGAGTCGTTAAAATTTTATTCATTGATATCATATACTGTATATTTTACGTATTTATTTTTTAAATTTTATTAGTTTATGATCAATGAAAAACTAACACTTATTGAACACAACTAATTTATTTTTATTATTATTACAATTATTTCTATTATGACAGTTATAATTATGTGATATAAATTAAAAATCAACGTAATATAAATCATTGGTTTTTTGGTAACATAACTATGAATTAAATTTAATGTTTTTTTCGATCATTTGAAAACTATTTTTTATTTTATAAACCTTTAAATACAATACTAAATATTTATTTTAAGGACTTCAAAAAAAAAACATATTTTCTATCTGAACAACTATAATAAAAAAATATACTAACTATAAACACTGTAATTTAATTAAACTATAATTTTCAACAAAAAAAACTTATAAAAAACTAGCAGTATATATAATTATATATTACCTTTAAAAACTTATCTTATAATAAGAGTTATTTTATGCTAAATACAAATAAAAATAAATCTAATTTTTATTCACAAAATGCATAATTATATTTCATGATATTTGAAAACAAAAATAATTGACAAATAAAGTCGTAAATTTTTGTGACATAAATAACAGAAAAATTAAAATTTGAATTAATTAGATGAGAAAAAAAACATTTTTGTTAAAAATAACAAACTGTTAAACAAATTATTTTAAATATGTGTATATATTTTGTAATAATAAAAAGTTTAAAAAACAACAACAAATAAATATGTTTATGTTAATGTTTAACTATAGTTTAAAACATTTTGAAACAAATTTTAAATATTATTTATCATTAAAATAAATTAAAATATTGATTGAATTTCTCACTATTGAGTTTTGTAATGATTTTTTTTGTTATTATTTTTTCCAAACATAATTTATAATTCATTATTAGTATACTTTTAAACATTAATCGCGAATTACAACAACAAAATGCTATAAATTCAACATTGATTTCTTAATTTATTTTAAACATTATTATTATTATTATTTTCATCGGCAAATATTAAAGTTAAACATAACTATTATTTATGATTTCATTAATATAAATCAATAAATTTCAATAAATCAATGAATACATGATTTTCATATTTTTGAGTATTTATTTTGAAAAATGATTTTTTTTACAGAAGAGAGGGAAAAAATTATGACAACTAATGAGTTTATAAATTATGAGTTTTATTAAACAAGAGTTGGCGCTAATCTATAAGTAAATAACTATAATATAGTAACTATTATACATTATATAACTTATAGTGATTGTAAATTTTAAAAAGGGATCATAATTTTTGTTATTGTAATAAACTATTACATATCTTAAAAAACTAATCTAATTATTAGTTTTCTGTCCAAAAAAACCAAACCGTATATATATATATACTCTAATACATAGTTTGTCATCAATATTACTGTAGTATATATTAATAATTATGTTTTGAGGCAAATTTAGTTTGTTTTTATCGCTTATTTTAATTATCTTGTAGTGAACACGATTTATTAGAAAAATTGATTGTTAACTATATTATCAATCTTAAGAAATAAAAGTAAAACTAAGAGTTAAGTATAGGAAAAGTCTTCTCTAAGATTATTAACTGATCTGTTAATCCATTAGATGTATTACATGACACCAACTGTTAAATAAATATATATATATATATATATATATATATACTATATATTCAGTATAACTTAATTCATTTGTATTTAAAAAAAATAATAATTTTTTATTAACAAAAACAATTATAATTTTTCAAATAACTATTTACTTGCCAAACAACAAAAACAACAATATAACCAAAACTTGTTGTCAATTATATTGAGTGTCAATTTTAGTTAAAAAGTTTTTTTTATACACTTAATAAGCAATTTTCTGGATTTTGACTTTTGTATTGTTTCAATATTATTTTTTAAAAAAATATAATTAATGGATGAATTTTGTTATTTAATAAAAAAAATTAAAAATAACGATTCAAAACATCTATAAACTATTTAAAAAATTGTAACAATCGATTCATCAATTATTATATTAAAACAAATTAATCAAAATTAAGTATTTATATATTTATAAAAAAATATGGTAACAATTAACAAGACAAGCAAAATATCATATAATATAATCGATTTCGTGAATCAATCAATCATTTAACACAATTGATATCTACTGTACGGAAACCAAAATGTAAAATAGTTTATTTAAAAAACAACTAAACATTTCTGATTTGATTCAACGTTAAAAATAGTTTTTTTTTAAATAAAAAATAAAATTTTACAATTAATGTAATATAAATAAATATGTTATCGATATATAGAAAATTTATTTTAACACTATTTCAATGTATTAGTATAATAATTATTAATAATACTATATATTAAATCAGAAAATCGTGTTAAGATTTAAATGTTGTATAAAACTTATATTATTTATTAAATTAATAAATATTAAAACATATCGGAGCCAACAAATTAGACAACAATCCCACAAAATATCAGATATAATCAGAAAAACTTGTAGTCGACTTAATGGGTTCAATCATTGGGTAAATTTATCTATAGATACAGTATATCAAATCAATATTTATATTATGCAATCAAATCAATCTCTATTAGTAGATAACACATAGCATTAAAAAAAATTTTAAGAAAAATCAAAACTAAATTGTAATTTTTGTACATTTTTGGTAACAATTTTCTCATATTTTGATAGACTAACATAGATATCTAACAAAGTAAACTATAATTGAAACAAAAAATATATATAATTTTAACTCTCTCTCTCTCTCTCTCTCTCTCTCTCTCTCTCTCTCTCTCTCTCTCTCTCTCTCTCTCTCTCTCTCTCTCTCTCTCTCTCTCTCTACTCACTCATTCACTGACCAACAAATAAATAAACAAAAATAACACATTAAATAGATGTTGCAAAATAAATTGTGAGAAACAAATATAAATATAACATTTGAATTGAGATTTTCGGAGAAAATAACTTTTTTCTAATTTGATACCAAAAAAGTACATCAAATGTTAGTGTGATTTGATAACTACTATATTATATGTGTCGGTGCATCAAATAGACATATAGATTGTATATAAGGCAAATTTAATAGATATCATTAAAGTTAAATCAATTTTATGATATTTCATAACTTTTACCATATATTTAACCTTTTTTGTAAATAAATCCATTTTTGACACAATTCGGGTCATTATATATATCGACATATTTTGATTTGTTTATCATATATTTAAAGATTTAATTCAACTCTTTTTTTTATTGCAACATATTTACTAATTGTATTTAATTAACTTTTCATATCAATAAACATTAAATTAATTTTTAAAAGTGATATTTATTATATAAATTATTTAATAATCAATTGAATTACATATTTCTATGTATAGCAAATTTTATGATATATTAATATATCCTCTTGTGATTACCAATGTCTAGTTATGTTTACAAATTTGATACAAATATACTTATATTATAATAAATAATGTGAAATCATATTTCAAATACATCGTTGAAAACAATGAAAACAAATTACATGTAAAGCCTAACAAATCACAAGAAAAAATAATTATATATTTAATTGTATTGATTAACATTAGGGACATATATGTAAACTAAATTATTATATAAACAAATATGTAAATTATTATAATCATTATAAATAAGTTAATATCTATGATAAATTGATTTAAAATAAGCGCTGATTACTTATTAAATATATTTACATAAAATCTTAGATATTTGTGCCATAATTTGTAATCAAATATAGTTTCTTTGAGTTTTCATAAACATATAATTTTGAATGGATTGAAAAATATCAAAATAATTCAAATAGTTTACCCAAAAAAAATTATTAATAATGTTTTTAATTGGATTTTCATTAATCAATTAAATCTCAAAATTAATAGTTTTCTTTAGTTTAATCTAATAATTCATTTATTTATTTATTTTATCTAAAAAGTCGATATAATTTATAATCATGATTTTTATCAATAAACTCAATGTAAAAAATAATTTCAATTGACTTATGAATACATAGATATCAAAGTTATCATAAAATTTTGAATGAAATCATAAATTATTGTATAGATTATATGATGAAATTGTTTTTTCTAATCATA